GCAACTCGATTTGCATTCTGTTGCAACTCTGTTGTGTTTCTAAAAACACATAAAAGGCATTCTTTAAGTTTGCCTTTGCTAAGATGGAGCTTTCTCTCACACCGGGGAACTCTGGGCGAAGAACCTGCTCCCTCCTGGACAAGGAAGTTGGATTCCAATGTCTTGCCTCATTGCTGGGTGTAGGACGTGGTCGTCTTTCCACCTCGGCCGCGCCAGATTTGAGATACGGCAAAAGAGAATACAAAAGTAAGCCAGGCACCTGGACAGTGGACGGCTTTTTCCAGGTATGCTATGACAGCATAGCAGAAACACTGCCCGATGAGTTTCTTGAAAGGCTTCCAGAACCATGTTTGTTTATGGGAAGCAAAATTCAACCAAATAAAGGGGTGGTTGTAAGGAACATTCTTTTGTTGAAAGTGAAATGAATCCTGCAATCCAATCCAGTGGTGTTGAGGTTTGTCCGCCGTGGACGCGCTGCGCAGCGTAAGCGGGACTTGGACGAAGATGCCCCTTCAGATTTCGAAGAGATTGCATCTGACTTGGACACAGAGGAGTTGGGTCAATGGCTGTCCACGCAGAATTGCAAGACAGACCTTCTGCCAGGGCAACAGTTGGTAAGAAAATACATGGCACCTGGGACGGTCCATGATCTATGGGAGCATTACCTTTCAACACAGAATCTGTTGGGCTGCCATGCTGTGGGGCACCTTGGGTTGTTTACCAACAATTTCTTTACTCTTTTTGGGGGTTGCCCAACAAAGCTATGTTTTTCAGGGTTTTTCAACCGAAACACAGCGCATCTTTCGAAGGTACAACACATTCAATTTGGTGTACAAAACCCGGTGGTCTGACATATTGCGATTCAGATCGAAGTCGCTATTCACAGCTTGCGAGGTGTGCACAGCACTCAAGCAACAGTTAGCCACCCGGACCTTCACTCTGGATCAACGCCTTGGATCCCTGAAACTATACAGAGATCACTTACACAGTCAATATTGCGATAGAACAGCAATGTGGACATTGCAGGCTCAATCTGCTGAGCCCAACTCTGGGATATTGTTTATCTCAACAGACGGTCTCGACCAATCCAAATTTTCGTTGCCAAGAGAACCAAACTTGAAGGCGAACGCAGCGTTGACCCTCGGATAAAACTTCTTTTAATAGGTTGGAAAACCTTGCCAACAAAAAAATCTACCTGTACATTCCAACTTTCTATTTTCCTGGCTCGCTCATCAACTCCGTCGACCTTCCAAGGGCACGGCATCAAAGACCTCGCGTAAAGGTCCATGGGGCCTGGGCATTCGGATACACATTATCCATCTATATCATGGACGAAGTGGCTAAACACGACAGCGCAGCCATCATCCAGATCCTGTCCGAAACCATTGAAGAAGCATCTAGTCTTTGCTTCAACATAAAGTCTATTGGTTGGAACCCCAGCCCCCCCAGAACCAAGCACATAATTGCGGTAATCGATAATTAGACATCTCTAGTGCCCAAAGAGTAAGTAAGGTCATGAGAATCTGCGATGAAGATGGGCGGCCACGCCCCACTTGCCTATTCATCAACGAACCTCCGTGGGTTTAGATGATTTTTTGTATGTTTCTTAGTTTTGTTGTGCGTAATCACAAACACCCAGCCTAAGTAATTCTTCTTGTTGCACACCACCCAAGGCGGACAATACGGTAAGGGAGGCAAAGAATCAGTATGTCATGAACTACTTACATGTATTGGTTGCACAGCATCGCATGTCCCTCTGCTGCCTTTGCCACTTGAGAAAAAGCCACACTCATTGCAGAATCGGTTTCTAGGATCCAAAGAAAACGCTTCCTCTTTTCCCCACAAAATGGAATCCCTTGTTTCGATGATAGTTGGACAAACCATGCAACATTTACTTTGCAAACACATGTTATCTGAGATCAATGCTGGGGGATCATCAGCAGACGCATTGGTTGCGAGCAGTGCATCCAAGAACCCAGCGACATCATCGATGCAATCCAGAAGGAGATGACGAAGCCTAGCATAAGGGATTGGGTGGGCCCTTCAACAAGAGTGAACGTCAAAAAATTGGACGCCACCCGGGACTTCCGGAACCACCTCCCAAGCTTGGCAGTGAAGCTGGAGGGCGGCTTGTTGAAAGATGACAGTGGAAACCATATGTTCTTGACAATGCAGCGCCGAGGCAGGGGCCCCAAAACGTACTGGAGGCTTAGGGTTGTTCCATCCTGCTTGCTTCTAGCTTCTCAATCAGGGTTTCCAAAATTATCACAACAATGACTTCCAACAAGTTCCGATTTCTTGCCTACCCTGACAGATGTGCCACCTGCACTTGCCAGAAACATCAATTCTGGATCTTTTGTTGGTGTTGCTTCGCCTCATGACGTGATCTGCTTTATAAAGAAATATATCTCTGACTCGGAACTTTCGCAGCCTCCGCTTTTGGTGATGACGCATGGCAGAGCAGCTACCTTTTCGCTGGTTCCTGCCACAAAGAGACTCTGACTGATTTATACCTGTACATAATTTTTGTTTAGGCTGTAGAAATGGTTTGTTTGGAAGGTTGGCTTCCCACCAGCAACAATCCAACCAGGAGACCAAACAATCATACAGCTGCATTAGCCCGCCAATTTCGCCAGTTAGCCCGTGATGTCATCTACTGTTATGGGCATCGTTTCCAGCCCTGTGTGGACTACCTCGAGGCCATGGCAGACAATTCCCTGTGGTCCAATGCCCAACTCGCCCCTTTGCCTTGGCATTCGGAAGCAGCTCCAGCCCAGCCAGGAATAGCCGAGCCTCGATACGTGATGCATCAAAGCGTGCTGAACTGCCTCGCACCATCTGTGCCCTTGAGGGCAATCTTTGGAGGCGACAGACATGTGTAAAGTGCCACAAACAGAGCTGGGCATGTGATGGGTGGATGGGCTGTGCACATATCAAATCAAACATAGGCCATGAAAAATCAAATATGGATTAAAACTAATCTATATTATGGTAATCATATCTTTATGTATTTATATATATAATATATACATATATATATATTATTCCAGCCCCCAACCTGGGAGTCATACACCCTGATTGGACTATGGGTCCGGGTCCGGTCTCACTCTTTCATCAACCCCCAGATCTGGTGCTTGTGGGTTCAAAAGGTCAGGGGTGGTTTTGGGGATTGTCCACCAACTGGGATCCGGTCGCAGCATCAAATCCAAAGCAACCACCTCGGCGCCGCAGATTGGAAGAAACAGGTTGGTCTCCTGGGGTCCAGACCCAGCTAAGTCAACGAAATTGAAAACAATATAAACAATTCACTCAAGGGTTCAGACTCTCCCAAACCAGAAAGTCGATGTACCCAAGGGTTCCGAACATAGAAAATCGATGCACCCAAAGGTTCCGACCATAGAAAATCGATGCACCCAAAGCTTCCGAGCATAGAAAATCGATGCACCGAGAGGTTTGGAACCCAGGAAGTCGATGCACCGAGAGGTTTGGAACCCAGGAAGTCGATGCGCCGAGAGGCTTGGAACCCAGGAAGTCGACGCACCCAAAGGTTCTGAACCCAGGAAGTCGATGCACCGGGGGGTGTTTTTCTGGCAATCCAACGGTTTCGATGCACTGGCGGTTGTCCAGTGCATTGACTTTTAGCATCCAACAAGGTTGGGTGCATTGACTTTCCACTTCACCACTGACATCAAACTCGATGGACTGGCGGTTGTCCAGTCCATTGAAAACCTGGTTCCAAAACCTCGGAGTTCAATTTCCAATCAAACCCCCTCAAATCAGAATTGAACCTCAATTTTTTTTAAATAAGTGTTCGATGGACTGGCGGTTGACCAGTGCATTGACTTTGAAGACACACCTTGATAAAAAAGGTCGATGGACTTGGTGGTCTCACCAGGAAATTTTTGGCCCGAAGCCCTAACGCCTTCGAACTGATGGCGCTGCCCTTCAAAGCCAAGTGCGAGGACCGGACATCCGCGCTTGCAAAGGTGAACGACAAGGATGGTGCACCTTCAGCCAAGAAGGTATGCTCATCAGCCGAGAAGCACTTCAAGAAGTTGGATGGGGATCTTTCTGTGTTGAAGGACCTATGTTCCCCCAAAGATCCCACATGTTAAGCTCGTTCGTACCATACTATCACACACTATATCAATATTACTAATATATACTATAATCATATACTATCATGTACTATGAAACAAAACATCTGACAGCCAATGTCAGGACCTCTACGACTATGGTCAATCCTACAAGGTGGAAGAAGCTGCTGATGGTTCCCACCCAGCGCAGTTTGTGCTGGATCTTTTGGGGTCTGACTCGGAGACATCCAAGCTACACTGCGAACAGGCAGCAGCATGGTATGCTGAGTACGCAGCTCATCGTGGCATGTCCTATCTCTTCAAGAAGCCGGGGCAGGTAACGCACGTCGTGTGTGTGTGCATGGGTGTGCTGTGAACTAAAAAGTATCACACAACTCTGACAGGTTTATTTAGTGTGATCTATTCTGCTGAGGGTCTGTTGATTGAAACACACCTGGTCTTGCTTTAGGAGATCGACATGAGCATGAAGGATGAAACAATCAAGTTGCCCATCACCTGCTTGAAGCTACATGGCTTGTTGTTCACCCTGAACATATTGAAACTTATTGGAAAGTGACACATTTTATGTTAGCATCTTGGTCCCTTTGGACCTAGGTTTGAGAGGCCAGATGACGGATTGCCATGCATATCTGACTGGATCACGACCTATGAATCTATGCTCCTGGGGGGTATTGAGTTGGGTCGAGAGCCTATTGACGCAAACATGACGGCTTTGGGAGGACACTCCCGGGGTTTTAAAGAAAACATATTTTTCAACACCTAAATACATGTTCACATTTTGCTAAAAAAAAGAATTCTACAAGTATTGGCATTTGTAACCCTGCAGGAACCTGGACCTGCGACATCCAGTCAGTGGACCAAGTGAAGGGATTCACACGCACAACAGTTGTGGCGACCATTTTGATGGCGTGCTCAGAGTTGGACTTCAGTGATCCAGCGACCCCTGCCAAGCTCAAACCCTTGCATGGACTGCTGGACAAAGCTTGGATGCTGCCCATCCATGTGCCTCAACAAACATTGACATAATAGTTTGCCACAGTTTGCCCAAAGTAATTTTTAAATACTGTAAGTTTCATGGATTTTTGTAGTACAATTCAACAGCATAGTGTTCCAACCTTTTCAGTCGTATTTTAACTGGGAACTAAGATTACCTTCGACATGGACACTACTTCAAGAAGCTTTCGGAACTTGGCACTCAGCTACAGGGGCTCGGAGCGACAAGCTCCGAACACGCTCCAATTAGCGCTACGCTTCTCCCGCATCATGGAGATCCGAGAAGCAGAAGGATGTCATCCACCAGGCACCACTACGGAGGAAAGATTGCGAGCCGTCACAGCCGATTTCAATGACAGTCCAGGTCTGCAAAGCAAGCACCAGCTAGATGAAGACAAGATCCGCAGCATCTACAACATCATTGCAGGTACGACTCCTGAAGCCTTTCTATGCCAAAATTGATTTTGAATTTGGTGAGTTTCCACATTTTTGGATTTATAGTTCACATTGTATGGTTTATAGTTCATACAGTAAGTGTTATGGATTGTTTTGCAAGCTGCCGTAAGGACGCACGAGCTGTGATGAGAGCACATGTTGACCATTTTAAGTGGTCGCAGTGCGCGTTTAGCACCGAGCAGCTGCGCAGCCAGCGCTGGATGCTTGGAGCGTCGCCGAAATCTTCGGGGTGCCCTGGAGAGCTAAAGAAGTGCTTGACGGTGACCGAGCAAAGCCAGACCATCCATTTCCGCTTGGTGATCCATTCATTTGTTGAGTCCACCAGGCGATTGCGAGCTTCTTCACGAGCAAAGATGCGGCTGAACTCTCAAAGCTTTGATGCTTACAGCGACTACGCATGCGTGATGTCCTACACACTGGACGAGGCCCGGAAATTGTCCAGCTTCACGGAGGAGAAAGAAGAGACGATTATGAAGGCCATCATGCAGAAGCAGTCTGGTTTTCATTAGAATAATTTTCTCTTATTCACAATATGTTTTCTTTACAGGTTAGTTTTCAGATACAGTGGTTCTTGTATGGGGTCATTCAGCTCAGGGATTACTTTTCGGACGTTGAAGCTGTTGTCACAGCAAAATTGGCTACATGGAAAGTTCAGCACCTGGGTGTTTGGAGCGATTTAGTGGAGGTGGCCGCTCCATCAGCGCCCGTCCTTTCGGCTTCAGAGCTCATGGACCTTGAAGATGAAGCGCAAGCTGCGCGATTCCGAGAGGCTCGCGCGAAATTGGCGCAAGACACCGCCGACATGTGTCAGTTCAATGCCAAAGCAGAGGAGAACAAACGTCGGGCTCATGTTGTGACAGTTCTTCATGAGAAAGCGCAAGTTCAGCAGGGCAAAGAGCTACTTGTTGAGCATGCTTCATCCTTGTTTGTTTGTTTGTTTGTTTGATGGTTGGAGGTTGGATGGCTTCTATTGACTCTGATGTGAATAGGGTTTTGGCGCGTCCTGTAAGGCTATGTGAAATCTTCATGGAGCGGTCCTGTCGGGTCAGTTTGGTGAGTGACAAGACTCCTTTGGACCCCAAGATGGAGACAATGTTGCGACAGCTTGCAGCCACCAAGAAGGTGAAGTTATTACAAATTATAGTTTCGCTATGATTTGAATACTAAAACATGTGTGTCTTTATAAGTCTAAGTTCATCACATTTCATTGGTTGATCTAATTTCAATACCCTGTGGCAGGTTGCCACCAACGAGCTGGACACAATTCTCTATATTGATTGCACCAAGATGGGCGTTGTCAGCCAAGCCAACATCAACATGATCGGCGAGATGTCAGAGAAAGTTTTGTCGCGCAACCCTGAGCGTTTCCAGGCATAATTCATTATACATTTGACCAGTGAAACACATTATTGAGGTGTAATCCCTTAGCTGTGCTAATGTCAAGGTTCTGTTCTTGTGCTCATCCCACCACTTTTGGTGGGATCTGACAGCTCTGGCTCCCTGCGACAGACTACAAGGACATGTGTGCGATGTTTTGTTTTTGAATTTCAATTGACACCCCATAGGCTGTTTGTGGCTCACATTATACTCCACCGAGAGGCCCTTCCAAACAAATTTAACACTACTCCCCCAAGCCCAGAATTTCTTTTATCAAACACTTGGAACAACAACCGCTGCAGGAAGCTCGAAGACAAACTTATGAACCACAGGGTGGACTTACGCCCTTTTACACTAAACATGTCGCTTGAAGATCTGCACCAGAACAGACAGCTTCCTGGTGCTTTCCTGTGTTTCCTTGGCATTGTGGACACAACCCTTCCACTACGTGGGACGGCTCACAGAGCTGTCAGGGGCACACCCGAGGCTGAGCATTCTGTGAACATGCTCCCTGCCCTAAATCAAAAAGCTTTGATATATATATATATCTCAGTGTTGACATTCAATGTTGCAACATTGGAGACTTATATAATCTTAATAGAAATTGGTTTGACAAATCAGGTTCTGCAGCAGTCAGCTGTGGCTTCGACAAGCCCTACCTCCAAACAAATTTCCGGTTGCTTTAGCAGAGAAGGAGTTTGTTGTCCCTGGCTCAGCAGACGCCCTGCTGAGCCATGATGCCCGCCGGAACCTCACAGATCTTCAAGAAACAGCTCAATGGTGTGGCGGAATCATGCCACCCAAGCACATCTTTGAATCCCTCACCAGTAACTGGCTTTTGGTTGGCATATGTTTTTGTTGTTCATTCATTCATTCATTCATTATTTTTGTTGCTCATGCATTCCAATCAGTTTTTACAGATTGACTTCCAATTCATTAATTCCATTTCGGCCCCTACCAAATTGAATTATGATTTCAACCAACATTGTCCAAGGCAACCTGAAAGGTTCACATGGAGTGTTGGTGGTGCATCCAACAGCGTACGACGGGTGTGTTGAGCTTGCAGCTCTCCAGATGGGCTTCTGGGTGACAGGGACCAGTGGTAGCGATGTCAACTACAGGTCAGCAAAGGAGATCGTCAAGGAGCACCTCCTTCAGGCATTTATTTCCTCAATATTACTCAACAGTTGTCGTTGTTGACTTTTGCTAAATGTTTTGCACATTCAAAGAGTCAGAGTAGTTTGCTAAATGTTTTGGAAACATCCTTGCAGGCTTGGCGACAGTGCCAACCACCCATGGACAAAGTCACACCACGATACAAAAAGGACATCAACCAGGAAGACCTACCAAAGGCCGTGAGCAAACCAGAGCTCCGACTTTGCAGTTTGGTTGACAACAAACTGATTGTGCCACAGGACGTCAGAGCACACTTCATGAAATGTCCCATCTACGGACCAGAGTGGAGGTCTTTGATGGCTCAATTCGACAAGGACTGGGGTGCTCCAGCTACAGCGACGCCGGCGACGCCGGCTGCAAACCTAAAGGCAGAATCTGTGAAGACAGAAGGGCCTGGCACCAAGACTGAGTCCAAGGAGGAGGCCTTTGATTGGGACACTTGCTTCAAGGATTCGCCCAAGAAGCTGGAGACGTTGAAGGCCAAATTCCCCTCTGATTTGATGGAGCTTCCTGGACCTATGGCTGCGACATCCTTCTTCGTGGCTCCTGGACCACAGTTGTTCATCCTGGCCAAGGAAGCTTGTGAGGTTCGTGCGGTGGACGGCCCTTTCCTTTCTTATGGCGCCGGGGTGTGGATCACCGGAGACAAGGTTACAAAATTTGTCGCCAACAACCCTGGAAAGGGAGTGCCGTGCGGCTTCCAAGATGACCAGGTGGTTGTCACGATGGAGGACTTGTGGTGGCTGTCTATTCCAACGGTTCACACCACACTTGAAATTAGGTGCTTTCAAGTTTTGCCATTGGTGACAAAACAATATACTATTAAATGTTGCTGCAATGTTTTTATTACTTATGTTTATTAAAATGCAAAAGTTGCTCGCAGGAAAATAGCAAAGATGGACCGCTTTGCAGCCTCCGAGATGCCTTGCAACAGGTGGAAAAGAATGGCCTAGTGGATTTTTCAGTGGGCGGGCACACTTGCGTCCGCCCGCCCGAGGTACAGCAAGGGATGTGCGACGATCGGTTTGTGATCTCTGCGGACAATTCCAATCCGCTCCTCTTCAAACCCAATGCCATCCAGACGAAGTCATTGAAAGCGGCCAACTTGGCCTCCCATTTCTCCTGGGAGGCAATGCAAGCTAGCCCGTTGGAGCTGGTGCTTTGGACAAACTTTTGGACGAGTAATGGTTCTTTTTGAATATGTGATGTTCATAAATTTGTTGCAACCACTGGAGACCCCTTTCAATTGAAGAGCTTCAGGTATGGCGGCTGAGGCTGTACACTACGGAGAAGTGCGTTGCGCCAGCAAAACCATTATGGTATTTGCCTGGTGATTTGAAGATGGCTAAGGACGTGTGCCAGAGGTTGATCTGAGATCTTGATGGTCTTGCAAAACATGTTTTCTTCAGACTGTTTGATACGCACCTCTCAAATAGTATTTGATTTCACGTTGGTTCCACAAGCTTGTGTCATTGTTTGGAATGCTATGGCAAGCCATCTTGGGGATACGTATGGGGCACCATGGTCACTATATCCAACTGTATATAGTGTGGTGCAGCTTTTGAGGCGATCTCACGAATCATACACGATGTCACATCGAAGCAGCAGCTCCAAAAGTGTGAGTTGCCAAATTTCTAAAGGGTTCAATATGATTTGAGTCGGTTTTGCTTAGCAACATTAAGATTGCTCATTGTTGTCAGTTGCCAGCAGCTTTTGGTCCCAAAATAAAGTTGTCCCTCTTCGTTCAGTCTTAGTCTTGGCTTCCCAATGCCTTCTTCTTCCACTTCGCTCTTCACGCAAATTGTTGTGGATGGAGATGTGATGGACTATGAGTTGCCCCCAGAACGCGCGTGGAAAAAAAAGAGAGTGGAAGAACCTCCGAAACGTTCCTTTTCGGTTATCCATGACATTCCCAGACCTTTGCCTCGATCAGTGCCAATCACTACTCCTCTTGGTCAGCAAATGGCTCAACCAGTTGAGACATGTCCCCCGAGCCTCGTTGGTTGTTGGTTCTTTTTTTTAAGTTTGAGTGACATTCAAAGGAACTTCAGTTCAAATTACGGACGGACGTCGAAATAGCAGAGAAATTGAATTATAGAATACTATGTATACTTATTTTATATATATAGATATGTGTTAAATTTGTCAAGAAATTACATTCAATTTGATTTTGCTCAGGAATGGTGCAATGCCTGGTACTCCGAGCTTTGACTCTCAACCAGACACCATCCAACGTGAAATGGATGCACTGGACCAGACATTCTCAAAACCAATTGAGCGGAGGCCTGTTTTGGACGCAAAGGCTCTATCAGAGATGGAGCTCTTTGGTGAGGACGACACTCCACCCAAGTCCGAAGGCTTGTTCGCGACAGATGATGCTGTCACCATCAAGTCTCCGGATGGATATGATTTGCTGGAGGAGGTCGCAAAGGATCCACCACCCGCAGAGTGTGATCTTGCTGAGAAGCCAACACTCGAAAGCCAACCAGAAGAGTGTGCGATTGTTGCTCAGACTGATGTTGAGAAGACCGATGTTGAGAAAACCGATGCTGAGAAGACCAAACCCAAGAAGACACCAGAACAGATCGAGCGGCATCGGGCCAATAGCAGAGCTTGGCACGAAAAGTGGGAAAAGAAAGGGATCCCACGTTCATCGTCTTCTTCGAATGGAAATGGAGAAGCCGCCAGAGGCCCTGCTGTGAATGCCCCAGCCAGTTTGTCTGAGGCCCGGGACCGTTTTGTTACACATTGGATTCAAAACAGTGGCATGCATAAGTCCAATGAGAGACGTAAGCTTGCCTACAAGGCCTGGATGGAAAGTTCCATTCGGGCGGACATTGTTGCAGGTCGTTCGGGGATTCAGAACTGATTGATTGGTTTCCTGTTGATAGTCCTGTTGATTTATATTGGTTCCTGTTGTTTTTGTAATATCCTACAATTTTGATGACAACAAAATATATATGTGAAATGTATACTAATTTGTTATGAATACTTTCCAATTGGTCCCCCTCGGCTTGTTCAATCTAGGGTATACATGATTGCTTCAGCAATCACCGGAAAGGTTAGCAAATATTGCCAAGGACCTTTGGCAACACGGGGTCGACAAGTGCGAAAAAGACTGAACTTCTGGGCGTGCTGCAGCTTTAACACTTTAAGATTTGGAACAAAAAGCAAACCTTTGACTTTTGCCCAAATCCAGTTACCCTTCGCGTCACACTTCGAGTGAGCCCCTGCTAAATCCAGCTACCCTCCAATCAGACTTCGAGTTGACCCCGTGTCAGGTATGTATGTTGCTGTGAAGCGCACGCACCTATGTGCACAACGAAACGCATCGGGTTCGCCCAGGCCAGACCTTGGCACCTTGCATCAATGGCCCATGTCAGGGCCTTGGACGTGATGTGGTTCCGACTCCGAAAAAATCAAAAACTTTTGAACGCACAACCTCTCCCCTCTATATGACTGTGTTGTGACTGAAATCTGCACTGCGCCTTTAACTTTGGTGATCCTCTGCGCCCTGTATCTGTTTCCTGTTCTCTGCGCCCTTTGAGGCTCTGACCGCCAGTGTCCCGTGGACATTGGCCCCGCGGCCCCGCGCGATACGGCGGCGGGCGCGAAAAAAAACAAAAACACAACATGTTCGAGAACAACGGTGCTCGAATCGACACGAGATCGATCGTTTGACCTGTTTGCATTGTAAAGCCTAGCATATGTTATATATTATAGACTAGCATATGTTTCAACATCCCCCGGTGTTAATTTACATAAACTGTGCTCAAGCAGTTGCTGCCAGCAACATTTTCCAGGGTCATGGGCAAGACTACTCAAGGTAACGCAGTATGTTTTCCAGCTGACTACTGGAGCACTGCAACAGTTTGTCAATTGGTTTGAAGCAAAGCTTGGCTTTGGCTTTGGCTAGCGGAGCTTACTTTGGTATTAGCGGAGCATTGTTCACCCATGTTTTGGGACCACTTGCTGGCAATACAGCCCCAGTTGCCACGAATATGACTTCAAGTCAATCATCTTAAGAATGGTCTTGGACTTCCAGGGTGGCCCAATATGTTGCCATATTTGATGCTGTAAAGTACACTCCATGTACTTGAGTTCAGCTGTCAACCCGTGTTTTCCGAACCCTTTCATCCGCCAGAGGGCGCGTACTCAAGAGCTCAGCTTCGGCCGCGAGAAAAGGAGACTTCGTCCGCTCCTTTCGTTCTGGGGAACTTCGTGTGTCTTCAGACCCTGCTACCACCGCAGTTGCATGGTAGCGGAGCCCCAACCGGGGCTCCAGACACGCTACCGCTGCGCACTCCACTTGCACCACAACAACTGAACATACACACCACTAGCAACAACACCTCACTGAACACCACCCCACAGACACGACTGCTCCAGCACCCATGGCTGGCACCTCAACCTTAGACACCACCAGCCTGAGGGATAGCTTTATCCCACAGTTTGACGGCCAGCCACAGTCCTACAGAGAATGGAGGAAGAGAATAGCAATATACCACCACAAGATGACCCTCCAGAAAAGATCCGGTGAGAGCCTGCTCAGCCTCATCGGAAGCTTGCAGGGTGCTGCATGGAAAGTCGTTGAAGACTACGATCTCAAGAAGATCGAAAAGGAGGGAGCCTTCGATGAGTTGATGGGCATGTTGGATAAGGCTTTCGCCTATGACGACAGAGTTCAAATGCCGCAGGATTTTGAGAACTTCTTCACCCACAACCTGCGCAAACCTGGCTCCACACTTTTGCAGTTCTGCACAGAGTTTGATGAGAAACTTCGACGCCTCCAAGCTCACGGCGTGAAGTTGCCGACAACTGTGCAGGGCTGGTTTCTTCTCAAAAAAAGGCCAATGTGACCAGGGAGCGACAACTTGTGCTCACTCATGCACCCGGCCTCGAGAGGAACAAGGTTCAAGAAGCCTTGTACTTGTTTCTTGGCCAGGATCACAAAGCAGCCGTGGTTCCTGAGCGCCGTCCCTTCGGACGAGGCAAGGGGCGCAAGGCCTTTGTGGCTGAAGAAGGCTGGGATGACCTCGATGAAGCCTTCTACCAAGAAGATCATGGCTGGGAAGATGACTACGAGGCCCCGACCATCGAATCCTGGCAGGATGATGACTTCGGCTTCGATCAAGAGGCCGGCTACTACCAGTACGACAATGAGCATGAGGATGAAGAAGAAGGTTTCGTCGCCACCTCTGATGGCCCCTGGGACATCGATGAATATGACTCAGCCTACGCCAGCTACCTGGATGCCAGAAAGAGATTTTCAGATTTGAAGTTGAGTCGAGGCTACTTGCCCATAGTTGCCTTGCAAGATGACACCAACCCATCCTCGACTCCCAGTTCTCCACAGCGCCCCCACAAGGGCAAGGGTCCTCGAAAAGGGAAAGGCGGCAAAAACGGCCGCTCCAGCACCATCAAGTATCCCTCTCGACCGGGAGGGAAGGCTCCAGATCCCAAGGCTCGTTCACTTGCAGCCATCCAGTGTTTGCGCTGCGGCGCATCCGGCCACATGGCCGCCAACTGTCCAAAGAAGGGCACCTCAACGAGTTCCGGTCCTTCTGTGGCCAACTCACCAGCCAAGCGACAACACACGGAAGGCATGGCCGCAAACACCACCCCCATCGATGAACATGGTCATGTGATTTTTGAGGATCTCCAAGGTCGACAGCGTGTTGACTGCACCATGATCGACCCTGGTGCAAGTGCCTTTCTGATGGGCACCGGACCGTTTGAGCGCTACATCCAACACCTTCAAGAGCTGCAGTATCCAGTCGATGACATTCAGATGACTTCCATCAAGCGTGTTTTTCATTTTGGTGGAGACCACAGCGTGAGTTGTCACTGGAAAGCTAGGTTGCCTGTGTTTTTCAACCACAACTATGGCTATGTCACTGGATTTGTCATCCCAGGTGAGACGCATATGTTGATGGGTCGCCCTATCCTCGAAGCTCTTGGTTTGACGCTCAACTTCCAAAAGAAGCTGTTGATGTGGGAAGACTCTCCCTGGCAGGACATCACCATTGGTCGACATGCTTAGGAGGCACTTTGGACTTAGCTACTTATAAGTTACTTACGGGAGACTTATACACTTACGATTTCTGGTATTTATGAGTAGGTCGTAAGTAGCTTGTAAGTAGTTTATAAGTAGGCATGGCTTTTTGTCAGCGTTTTAAAAATTTTTCAAAAATTGACAGGCCTAACTCTTTTTTTCACCCCAAGAGCCACATATCTTGGCCGTCTTTGCGGTAAAACAGCGGAGCTTCCTTCGTTTGAAGGGCTTCCTCTAACGCCAGCCACCTACGCAAGCCGCGAGTCCTCCATCGGCTGAGACCACGTGCCTCAACTGCATCATGGTGCGGCAGCCAAGA